TATATACACATATTTTGCAATTACCTTTTTTCTGTGGCGAAAACAGGCTTCCATAAAAACTATTTATAGGAAATAAAAAAAATGTTGTACACAATTTAAAAAACTGTATATAGATAAATCCATGATTTTTTAAGATCCTCCCTCATATTTCCAGGTTTTGCATGAACATGGTTAATGAACACGGCAAATTCACATGACCAACTTAAACCCAGAGCGAAATCTGTGTGCAGAAGTTTCGCCCTCATTAGAAAACACATTGATTCCTATTGAAGTGACTGGATTTTGCCCATGAAAATAAACAATAAATGTTTCCTTAATGATTATTAATTTGCAAATTTAGCGACTATTGCACCTATTCCCTTTAAGCAGTGAGAATGTGACCCATAATGCACCTCTGCACACACTCTGATTCACAGATATAATGAACAGAAGTGACCCTGGATTCACAGCTCTGCAGTCAAGCCCCTCCTCCACCCTCTGACACAAAGAGGTGGGCGTGGCTCTGTGATGATTGACAGGTCTCCCGCGGGGCTGCTGTATTTCTGTGGCGTTAAGCAGTAAATCAATGCTGCTGTAAAGTGCTGATCACAGCGTTTGGATCAGGATGCAGCGAGCCGGAGGCGCTACAGACGGACAGCAGTCTCAGGAGACACTCTCAGTGATCACAGCAGACACACTGATCTGTTCAGACGCAGTAAACGGCTCAGAGAAGAGCTGTCAGACCGAGTCTGCTTACTGACTGAGAGCAACAGACGACACCTAGTGGTGAGAGTCTGACAGGAACCAAATATTACAATACTGCCTACTGTTGCTCAAAAAAGACAAAAAATAAAAATATATGAATACACACACACACACAAACACACACACACACGCACAAACACGCACACACACTAACACACACATACGCACGCACACGCACACATGCACACACACACACTCACGCACACACACACACTCACTCACTCACACACAAACTATTTAGCAGTTATTTAGACCAACACATTTAACACTTGAAATATGTTTATTTGCCCCTTTGTCACACATAACATACACATATCACTGATAACTGATAACACTGGAATTGAACTGTCTGTAGTGCAGCTGTAGTGAATAGTTTAGAAAACTAGTCCCGTCCGAATAGGGCTTTAGTCTATATAGAGTGATAGTCAATGTAAAAAGAGCAGATGAACACAAAACAGCAGAACAACATAAAGTGAAAGAGGATCAACTTTATCACTCAGCTGAACTCTGCTCGTGTGTTTCTAACACTTTGGGTCTTGTATGTTCTTACTCTACACATGTATTGAATATGTATATATATTTATTCAATACATGTGCGGAGTAAGAACACATAAGATAGCCGAAACAGCAACTCACTTCAGTGTCTGACTTATATTATAATCACGTCCATAAGCTTTTTGTGAAATGTGGAGTAACTCATTAATCTGTTGTTTGACCTCTTCATATTTAAGGAGAGAGCTATCAAAGTCGGACATCGCTTGTTATGGTTTTCAATAGGGCTGGGCTTTGACACAAATTTCACGATTCGATTTGATTCGATTCTCATTCACACGCTTGCGGTATTTTTCTATCTTACTAATGAGTTTATGGTCACCAAATATGTATTTCTGAGGTAAATGTGACTTTACGTGACATTGTTTACAAGCTGTTATATTGAGGTCTTTGCGCTGCTGAAACACTGATTGAGCGATTACATGAGACAGTATACGGATTGTAAAGTTGTACTCTTTCTTTTAACTTACCTTCGGATGTTTAGTCATGTTTATTTTGTGCTATAACTAGTAATAAAGCGGAGGAGATGATCAGTTCACTGAGGCAATACAGCGATCTGTCACTCCACATTAAACAGCGCCAAAACAGCATTAATTGTTTGAATACTGCAATACAATGGACAGAATTTGAAATCTGAGACTTTGTTTCATATTAAAAGTACCAAAGCACAATGCTTATTGCGATATGTTGGATGGAAAGTGCCCTTCAATGTTCCGTCCATTAACTGAAAACAGGCTATACTAATAAATTCTTGGGATTTAAGAATCAATATCGTTCCGTAAAAATGAGAATCGATTAATATCGAGATATCTATATTTTTTACCCAGTCCTAGTTTTCAAGGGTGTAGAATTAAGTAGAGACACTGTGACATGATCCTACCAATATCAGACACTACTAAATTGTCCATAGCAATAATTTTGATCAAACAATTAAATGTCTGTTGTCTGCCGTTACGTCCACCAATTCCAAAATCAACTCACTGCCTCCTATATAAAATAGCCAAATATTCCCGCACACACACAATTTCATACTTCGCTGGCCATTTTTTTCTTTTATCTTTTGAAATCAGTTTATTTAATCATTTAATGATCTATGATCTATAAATTCCATGATCCATGAATATTCAAAATATCTTTTTACAATGACCACAAATTAATTTTTTTTTTTTTCCTAGGTTTTTTGTTACTGCATCAAGTTTACACACATGGGTCAAAAATGACCCATCTATGCAAGCATTACTAAATGCTATAAACTGATAAATGGTGACAAAAAAATGTCACATAATAAAATGTCAAACAAATGATTCGCGATACGCGAAGTCCCGATATAAATCAAATTCACGATCCGCGATCCGATTGGAACGCTTCGAAACTCTCTCCTGTTTAACCCATCACTATGCATGCTTTATAAAATCATTACAAGTGATGTCGAAATTGGAAAATGAATGGCTCTTTTCATCTGGTTTTTGGCAGTGAATCGCTTGAACTGAATGATCGAAGTCACGAGTTTGAATCAATCGGAACGGTTCCAGCGTAAATGACTCACTCAATTGATTCGGTTCATCTGTTCCTCCACTTTCCGCGTCTCCACTACTAATAAAATGTCAAACAGATGGTTTATTTATAAGAGCACAAGTGTCCTTTCTGCGAAACGGTTTGCTATTAGCTGTAAAAGAGTTTCTGAGACTCCTCAAGAAAGCTCCATCAGTCAAAACCAAACGTTTCGATGAGCCAAATAACACGACAGAGCTGACGATAATCTACTGTTCAGATCACACGAGGCCGAGTGAAGCGCACGCGGTGTCAGTCTGTGTGTCTGGTGGCTGATGGGTAACGTCACATCGCTCTGATGCAGCACAGGAAGACATTTTGTTCCAGATCTGTGGCATTGTGCAGGAGACAGCAGGTCTGATGAGCAGAAACAGCCTGACCAATGACAGATCAGTCTGCCTGAGAAACACTCAAGACACACAGAGACACGACCTCCCCGCTTCAACACACTCCTCCTCCTCTTTGTCTGTCTGCGCTCTGCTTGAAGTGATTTTCCTCTGATCAAGCAGACCATGTGACTCTGTGCATGAGAGCACAAACCTCTCCTCCTGCAGGCAGAGAGAGGAGGAAAGAGCAATAACGAGGTGATGTGTGTGTGATCGAGAGGTTGCCTTCACACCGCTGGTTCATTTGAACAAGATCGGATTCTTTTAATGATCGTGTGAAGATTTGTACATTTTCAATTCCAATCTGGGCCACTTTCATGTTGAAATAAATCAGATGCCATTTTTGTGTGACTTGACATTCGTCACAATATAACGGAATGATACCTCATATAATGTTACATACCTTTTGTAACGTAACGTAATGTAAATGTGGCACACATTACAAAACTCTATTACAGTATTGCAGTGTTAATTCTATTATACTTTTAAATTGCTACTATAGTAATAAATTATTATAGTTATTTATATTAAATTATATTATTACAGTAATTTATAATTATCATAGTAATTTATAGTAATAGTGTTATAGTAATTTATAAATTGCAGTTTAGTGTTATAGTATTACACAGAAAGGTGCAGAAATATATTTTATTATATTTATTATAAATGTATAATTTTTTTATTATATTATATATAATATATAAATAATATTAATAATATATTAAATAATAATATAGATAAATAAATTATATTTCT